TCTAGACACCTGATACCACTTTTCATTTATAATTGATATACTCCCTCATGTGAAAAGTTCAAGATGTTTAATTTGTAAGAACACGATTTACGACCTGATTAAAATACAGATCTGGATGTTTAATTTTAACCCATTAGCACCAAAAGTTATCATAACCAATCAAAACAGTGTTCAAAAGGGGCTTGGTTTCTCTCAATTTTTGTCTAGCTACAAATTTCATTTGGCCGACGCAGTGGACACACTGGGTGAATAATTGCGTTGATAACTCGCCTGCAAATTAAATTAACGAGTCGATTGCGATGAATATTTGGGCAAATACTATCAAACACGGTTGATGTTGGCGAATGGCTTTGGTCGATAATCAGGCGAATGTCGTAGCACTAGACACACCAGACGAAGTTCGCTGGCAATCGACTCGCCTGAACCCTTCGCCGTGAAAATTCATCAAGTCTATCCGTAGCTTTAGATTTGACTTAACAGTTAACAGGACTAGTGTGTATTGGTTTTGTTGCAATATTTTGAAATGGATGTAGTCAGTAGAGCAATAAAATGTTTATATTAAAACAACAGATGATGTTTCTATAATATCAGGTTTGTTAAAATGTCAGAATACATGTTAAAATTGATAGTTTGTTTCTGTAGTTAGTCAGAAATAACTCACGGTACATGATAGGTGCAGCTCATGGAGAAAGGAGTATCTGATATTGATATGTGTAAATGTCAAACTCTAAGCTTAATTTCAAGGGATTGATAGGAAATATAAACTCAGATTAAATCTATGATAAATTTTATGAAATAAGGTTACAGTAAATGTATTGAATTTTATCAGAGAACACCAAGCAGATATTAGGCACAACAGGCTCAAGCCGGTAAGCAAAGATTTCAACAAACCCACCCATGGCTCAGATTCTTTTCTGGTTCACGTCATCAGAATCATAAACCATGACCAAAGAAAAAACATAGAACAGAACTACATTGGAACTAGGAACTCAAAACTATGACTCTGTTAGGTAGCAACGAATTCATCTACCAGTAGCTCTCTACTGTCACTGGCCAACTTTATTTCACCCTAAATTTACAATTGATTTTCCAATCAGTTGACTGATAAACTAATATCACTCAATTCTTCAGAATTGATTCATGTTAAAAATTGTGCAGCTCTTGCCAATATTTATGAATGTACACACTTGTTCACCTGGAGGTCCAGGGTTTGGCATATCATGCTATAATTTACTACAGCACAAAGATTGTCAGCTTGGTGCTGTGTACCAACTCTTCAGCGCTTCCTAAATAATTACATATTTTACCGTGTGTCACTTTAGCAAGTAAACATTGTATTAGGGAAGAAGTCAAAGAATATTATTCATGATACCACATGATTATAAAACTAATGAATCTGTTTCAATTGACAGTGTAATCTGAGGTGTTTGGTTTGGAATTAAAGATTTAAAAATTACCATATGATGTGGTACCGGTATGATATGATCGGTTTTGTTGTATGAATACGTATGAAGTTTATCAGAAGATGTTTGAGAAAGAATAGAAAGATTTAGTGATCGACCCATCAGATGACTAAACACTAACTAAAATCATCTAATGATAAATTTTCATGAATAAGACCCTGATTGTAATAAGAATTGTAATAAGAAATAAGAATTGTAATAAGAATTAAGAATTGTAATAAGAAATAAGAATTGTAATAAGAAATAAGAATTGTAATAAGAAATAAGAATTGTAATAAGAATTGTAATTGTAATAAGAATTGTAATAAGAATTATAATAAGAATTGTAATAAGAAATGTAATAAGGAATGTAATAAGAATTGTAATAAGAATTATAATAAGAATTATAATAAGAAATAAGAATTGTAATAAGAATTGTAATAAGGAATAAGAAATGTAATAAGAAATGTAATAAGAATTGTAATAAGGAATAAGAAATGTAATAAAAATTATAATAAGAATTGTAATAAGGAATAAGAAATGTAATAAGAATTGTAATTGTAATGATAATTGTAATAAGAATTGTCATAGGAATAAGAAATGTAATAAGAATTGTAATAAGAATTGTAATAAGAAATAAGAAAAGTAATAAGAATTGTAATAAGAATTGTGATATGAAATAAGAAATGTAATAAGAATTGTAATAAGAAATAAGAATTGTAATAATAATTGTAATAAGAATTGTAATAAGAAATGTAATAAGAATTGTAATAAGAAATGTAATAAGAATTGTAATAAGAAATAAGAAATGTTATAAGAATTGTAATAAGAAATAAGAATTGTAATAAGAAATAAGAATTGTAATAAGAAATAAGAATTGTAATAAGAAATAAGAATTGTAATAAGAAATAAGAATTGTAATAAGAAATAAGAATTGTAATAAGGAATAAGAATTGTAATAAGAATTGTAATAAGAATTGTAATAAGAATAGTATTAAGAATTGTAATAAGAATTGTAATAAGAATTGCATTAAGAAATGTAATAAGAATTGTAATAAGAATAGTATTAAGAATTGCATTAAGAAATGTAATAAGAATTGTAATAAGAATAGTATTAAGAATTGTAATAAGAAATAAGAAATGTTATAAGAATTGTAATGATAATTGTAATAAGAATTGTAATAAGAATAAGAATTGTAATAAGAATTGTAATAAGAATTGTAATAAGAATAAGAATTGTAATAAGAATAGTATTAAGAATTGCATTAAGAAATGTAATAAGAATTGTAATAAGAATAGTAATAAGAATTGCATTAAGAAATGTAATAAGAATTGTAATAAGAATAGTATTAAGAATTGTAATAAGAATAAGAATAGTATTAAGAATTGTAATAAGAATAAGAATAGTATTAAGAATTGTAATAAGAATAGTATTAAGAATTGTAATTGTAATAAGAATTGTAATAAGAATAGTATTAAGAATTGTAATAAGAATAAGAATAGTATTAAGAATTGCATTAAGAAATGTAATAAGAATTGTAATAAGAATAGTAATGATAATAAAGTTGATTATTTTGGCAGCCTGTCAAAGTTAAGTATATTAATGATGGACTGTAACATCTCTGTGTTTATTAAAAACTTTCTACCTGGTGAAATTTAATGATTTAAACAGATATTACTAGTTACTTCCTCTTTCTTACTGACAGATAGGTTATTTAGTCTGTATATTCAAAATAGAGCCATGGCTAAACAGACCTAAACCTTGGTTATCACAGATACTAAAATAGAATCACAACAAACCTCCAAAAATATCCAAAATGGACCCATTTAAAAAGATATGATAAAACTGACAGGATGGCCTATTCTTTATAGTCAAAATGGAGCCCTAGCAAAACACACTTGTGGTCATAGCAGACCTCCAAAACAGACACTAAAAAGTCAAAACTGACCCCCAAAATACCCAATAAAATGGAGCCATTTGAAAAAAATATGAAAAAAGAACATTTTTACAAGGATCTTGGTCCTTGGCCGAGCCTGTTGGATATGGATTTTACAAGGATAACAATTCAGGTTCAATGCTGGTCCTTAGCCGAACCTGTTGGATATGGATAACAATTCAAGTTCAACGCTGGTCCTTTTACACGCAGACCAAGATTAGAATATATGACCACTATTTGTAATTACAAGACTAAAACGATTCCACTAGATGTAAGAGTTAAATGTAGTATTAAGCAGTGTTTAAATTCAGTACAAGTTTGTGGTCCATAAATTCTAATATCTTTATTGATTGCCGTGTTTTATAGCTGATAATAAAATTACTAGAATAGGAAAACTCACAAGTAGAATTGTCTGCAATCATAAGAATCACTTTTTATGTCAAATTTTGGGTAGACATCACCCCTTCTTGATAAGCCCCCTTCTAATAAACCCCTCCCCATATCACCGCCTCCTAATTTTCACCTAATTTATCTTATCCATAGAAATAAGAGGCCAATTATGAAGTGATAGA